ACATTTCATCCGGTGCTGCATCATTAGAACAACGGCGTTCCTCATTAGCAAGAGTGGTGTACCCATCATATACAACAATGCGACCCATTACGATATCTTCGTCCATTCTTGCTCCATGACGTCTTATTACCACTGGGATAGTATCATCTTCTTTGTCAAATTCCATTTTTTTTTCTTGCTCATTAGAATTATCAATATGTTGTTGGTGCCAATATTTCGTTGGATCTATGCACAACGCTGTGCTTACTTCCTATTAGGTCATCCATTTCCGATTAGGTCCTAACAATCCCGTGACCTTAGCTCTGATACCAGTTGTTCAATCTTATAATGCACTATGCTTACTTCCTAGTAGCTCTGATACCCATTGTTGGACAGACGCTTTTAGAGCAATAATAAATTAGGCTAATAATATTTTATGTTAAGACTATTGGAAAGTCATAATTGGATATTTATTTGAAGGAGTCAAAACTTTAATATGCATACTATAAGGATTCAGTTCTAATAATAAATTAGGCTAATTTTATTAAAATATTTATAAATACATACTTATATTTTCTATATTTATATATTTTGCTCATTTTCGTATTTTGTACTTTTTTTATGTTTTATTGTTCAACCATATTTCTTTTTATTCAATCGATTATAATGGAATTCAACTTTAGAGCAATAATAGTAAATTTTGTTAAAAAGATTTGATGCCCATTGGCCCGTTAGCTTCTAACCGGTGGATTTGCAAGAACAAAAATAAAAGTACACTATGGAAATAGCTAGAGAATATGAAGACCCCAAGAGAAGGAATCAGCCATTGTATTATGAAGAATCAAACTTTTATAGTACAAAGTGATGTCTGTTACAAATCAATACATAATGACTAATCAATATCACTAAATGGGAATAATGTCCATAAATAATATGTTTTGTAACACTCCCCCCTTGGACATTATTTAACCATATTCATGCCTCGTTAAAAACTCACTAGAAAAACCCGGTGGGAAAAACCTAAGTGAGAAAATAGTACACGACATATGGGTAATGCATGTGTTGCTTCGGTTGCCTCATTAAAAACCTTACATTGAGAAAACCCTGTGGGAAAAAACTCAGTAAGGGAAAAAGAGTACAACCGTAAACCTTCTGGGTTTAGGTATAAATCATAATAATATATCTTGATCTTCTGGATCAAAGTGAATGAATTAATCTTCTGGACTAACAATTTCATTATATTTAAAGTGTTGTTGCTCCCCCTGAAGACACCAGTCTTCCTAATCTACGCATACCAATTTTATATACATACTTTTCAAAAGTAGATGTAGGTAAGGACTTAGTGAATAAATCTGCTAGATTTTCACTTGATTGGATCTTTTGGACTCGTATTTCACCACTCTTCTGGAGTTCATGTGGATAAAAGAATTTTGGTGCAATATGTTTGGTGAGATTACCTTTAACATATCAATTACTCATTTGTGCAACACATGATGCATTGTCCTCATACAGGACAGTGGGGATCTTTCCATTATTCATTATTCCACACGAGTCTTGAATATTATGTATTAATGACCTCAATCGTACACATTCTTTGGAGGTCTCGTATAAAGCAATAATCTCAGAGTGGTTTGACGAGGTAGCAACTAATGTTTGTTTAACTAAATTCCATGAGATAGCAGTACCTCCTAAAATGGAGTACTACCATTGGAGTACTAAGTGGATGAGACTTATCCATGTAGAATTTCTCCAATAACTTGTCTGTGTATTTGAATTAGTGTATGCATATCCCTTCAGGGAGGTGCTCGATCTGCAGGCCGAGACAGAACTTGGTTTTTCCCAAGTCTTTCATTTCGAATTCCTCCTTTAAGCACAAGCATGCCCTCTTGACATCCTTGTTTGTCCCTATGATGTTTATATCATCTACATAGATGGATATAATACAGAAACCATCAGTTGATTTCTTTGTAAAGATGCAAGGACTAATACCTTTATTTTCATATCCTTGTTTTAAGAGGAATTCACTCAATCGACAATACCACATTCTTCCTTATTGTTTTAAGCCATACAATGACTTTTGTAGTTTTACGCTGAACATATTTTTATTTGTATTTCCTTTACATAAAGGATTTTGGATGCCCTCAGGCACTTTCATATATATGTCAGCGTCTAGTGACCCATATAAATATGCGGTCACGACATCCATTAACTGCATTTCTAAATTCATTTTTATTGCCAGCGATATTAGATAACGGAACGATGTGCCATCTAAGACAGGAGAGTAAGTTTGTTCAAAATCTATTCCAGGTCTCTGTGAGAACCCTTGAGCTACCAGTCTCGTTTTGTATCTGACCACCTCATTTTTTTCATTCCTCTTCCGTACAAAATAGCCATTTGGATCCTACTAGGATCACGCCTTTAGGGGTAAGTACAGGAGGACTAAACACTTTTCTTTTATTTAGCGAGTTGAGCTCAGCCTCAATTGCTTCTTTCCATTTCAACCAATCGGAGCGCTTCTGGCACTCCATTATAGTTTTTGGTTCTGGATCCAGATTATTGAAAGAAATGTGAAGAGCAATTGTAGAGGCGAATTGGTCGTCGACGACTGTTACATTTCTATTAAGATTTTCTCCTGTTTTGAAAAAGTTTATGGCAGATTCTATATTTACTTCAACCAAGTCTTTCTCATTTTCTATCATATCTTGGTGAAGGTGTTCCGTATTCCCAGTGTTAGATTTATTTGTAGCATGTGCATTTACACTGGGTATTTCGTCTTCAGGACGATTTTGGAGTAACTGTGGTTGTTTACTGTTTTTAGTTTTCCGCGGATTTAAATCTTTTGTACCAACTGGTCTTCCACGCTTCTGGCGTTGGGTAGTGTCGGTGTTAGTATTTGGTCCTTTGGGGACAATTATTCTTGATGGAGCATTTTCTGCAGGAATATAGGACCTAGTTACTCTTTTATAATCAGTAAATGCATCTGGCAGATTATTTGCTAGTTTTTGCAAATTTATTATTTTCTGAACTTCAAGTTCAGTTTGATTAGTACGTGGGTAAAGATATTGAAGATCTTTTTCATCCCATGAAATTTCGTGGCATTTTTTCAAAGTTAGGTTATTCTCTCCCCCTAATGCCGGGAAATGATCTTCATCAAAAATGCAGTCAGCAAACTGGGCAGTAAACTGATCTGCTGCCATAGGCTCGAGGTATTTAATGATAGAAGGGGATTCATACCCAACATAAATACCTAATCGACGCTGCGGGCCCATAGAAGAACGATGCGGAGGTGGCATAGGTACGTAAACCGCACAGCCAAAGACACGCAAATGAGAAATGTCTGGCTCATTACCACGTACAAGTTGTAGAGGGGAATAATCGTGATATGCAGTTGGCCGGAGTTGAATTAGATTTGCAGCATGCAACACTGCATGTCCCCAACAATTTACTGGTAGACTAGACCGTTGCAGTAATGGTCTAGCTATTAGTTTAATTCTTTTGATAAGAGATTCAGCTAAACCATTCTGGGTGTGGACGTATGGTACAGGATGTTCCACCTTAATTCCCATGGCCATACAATAATCGTCAAAAGCTGACGAAGTGAACTCACCAGCATTATCCATTCTTATGTTCTTAATAGGATAATTGGGGAATTGGGCATTCAACCTAATGATTTGGCTCATGAATTTTGCGAATGCCATATTTCGAGTGGAAAACAAGCACACATGTGTCCATCTGGTGGAAGCATCAATAAGGACCATAAAATATCGAAATGGTCCGGATGAAGGATTAATTGGTCCACAAATGTCACCCTGTAGCCTCTGCAGGAAGACAAGTGACTCAAAATCAATCTTAGGACGCGAGGGAAGAACAATAAGTTTTCCCTGTGCACATGGAACACATGTGTAATCTTTTGTAGAAAGAATGTTTGTCCTAAGAAGGTTATGTCCAGTTGAATTTGAAAGAATCCGGCCTATCATAGTTTGCCCAGGGTGACCTAAGCAGTCATGCCATAGACTGAAAGAATGTGTATCTTTAAATTTCACTGCGATTGCAACGCAGGAGTGCTGGGGCCTGATATAGGAATAATACAGGCCTGAAGAAAATGAAGGAAGTTCTTCAATTTCCTTTTTCTGGTTATTGACCGTTTTGGTCAAAACAAGGAATTCGGTATTGTTTTTAGTTTTAGCTTCTATGTGTAAACCGTTGGACCGAATATCCCTGAAACTGAGCAAAGTTCTTTTTGATTGAGGATATAGGAGGGCTGAATCAATTATCAACTTTGTTCCGTTAGGAAGAATAAGTGAAGCTCTGCCGGAGCCCACAATAGGAATATCATCATTCGCTATAGTTGAAAGGTTGCCTTTGTGTTCTTTGAACTTTTGGAAAAATCTTCGATCTGTCAGAATAGTGTGCGTAGTCACACAATCAACCAAGCACAGGGTTGATTCGTCTCCCATATCTCTAAAGAAAAAGAATGGGTATCAAGATAATGTGTAAGAAGGATCCATTGAATTTATTCAAATAGAACAAAAGTGTTCAAAAAAAAAAAGGATCCATTATTCATATAGGACAAAAGAGTTCAAATATAAACATGCACGCAGGCATGAAGTAAAAAGGATGTCCATAAGGGAAAGAGAGTAAAGAATAGGAGTATCACTCCTGATCTCCATAATCAGCTAGTTCATCGCCTAGCAAGTCATCATTCCCTAAGATGAGGGCATTTGCTTCAGGCAAAGATGATTGCCCAGAATCTTTCTTCTTTTGTCTTTCTTCCTGCTGGAGCATCTTTTGGTAAGCCTCAACCAGATGCTTAGGAGTCATGCATGTCCTAGACCAATGTCTTTTGCAACCACATTTATATCATGGCTGCGACTGATCGGAGTTATGTTGTGACTTGCTTAGTCTATTTCTTTGAGTTTGCTTGTTCTGAGGACGGGAGTCACTACAACTAGCTCCCCCTCTGCCACCTCACTTTGGTCCCCTGCCACGACCTTTCTCCCTTCCCCGGCTTCGACCCCGCCGATTGTTGCTCTGCTGGGCAACAGTGTGTGCTTCAAGCACAGGTGCAGCGCCAGTTGGACACACAATGTGATTATGCATCAATAACTGGCTATGCTTTTCAGCCACCAGTAAAGCTGTAATGAGCTCTGGATGCGTATCATACTTTGTATTCCTGTACTGCTTCTGGAGCACAAGGTCATTTGGATGGAACGTGGATAGAGTTTTTTCAATCAGATCCTCGTCCGTAATTGTTTGCTTACAGAGCTTCAATTGTGACACAATTTTGTGTAGGGCGGAGTTGTATTCAGTCACAGACTTAAAGTCTTGAAATCGGAGGTTAAGCCAATCATGTTGGGCCTGGGGGTGGACCAATGACGTCTGTTGGTCAAAGCGTTCCTTAAGAGACTTCCAGAGGACATAGGGGTCTTTTTCTGTTAAGTATTCATTCTTGAGATCGTGGTTAAGATGGTGGCGGGGGAAAATGAGCGCTTTTGCCTTCTGGGCTGCAGTGCTTGTAGATGTCTCTTTAATGGTGTCCAGCAGTTCTGTAGATTGGAGATATATCTCAACATCAAGCGCCCAAGTGAGGAAATTGCTTCCATCGAGGGCGAGTTCAGCGAATTCTCTTTTTGCGAGAGCAGCCATTTCTACCGAAAATATTTAAATGAGGACCATGGAAATAGAATGTGAGACCTATTTAAATAAATTAAGGCCCAAAGGAATATATCACAAGAAATGGTCCAACAAAATAGAACTTGAATGAGTATAAGAAAATAGCCCATTAAAAATGGTCCATATAAATGATGGTGATCCAAAATAAAACAATGGCCCAAAAAGAATATCAATAGTAGTAGATTGATAAAGGAAAATTATGCTATGCGCACGTGCGCACCTTGCATGACCTTGCAAGGTGCGCACGTCTCTAAAACAACATCGTTTTCAGGGAAAACGACGCTGTCCTAACTAAAAAAAAAAAAAAAAAATTGTTCAAAAGGCCGTTAACGGCGTTAACAGCGTATTCGTTATGAAATTATGAATGTACAGTTATGACATTATGAATGTACAGTTATAGAATTATGAATGTACAGTTATGGAATTATGAACTTACAATTATGAACATAGAGCTTCGAAAATTATGAATGTACAGTATGAAATTATGAATGTACAGTTATGGAATTATGAATGTACAATTATGGAATTATGAATGTGCAGTTATGGAATTATGAATGTACAGTTATGGAACTATGAATGTACAGTTATGAAATTATGAACACAGAACTCTGACATTATGAACTTACAATTATGAACATAGAGCTTCGAAAATTATGAATTTACAGTTATTGAATTATGAATGTACAGTTACGGAATTATGAATGTACAGTTATGGAATTATGAATGTACAGTATTATGAACACAGAGCTGTGAATATATGCTCCGATAACGAAGCGGTCTAAAATTTAAAAAAAAAAAAAAAAAAAAGGAAGATAACGGTGCCACTGACGACACCGTTACCGTGCCCATGATGCACGCTGGGCACGAGTCCACAGCATAACGATTGATTGATAAAGGGGAAAAAGCCTAAGTCAAAGCCATCCTAAGAAATAACACTTTTGGCGTTAATTTATTTAGGAATAAAAGCTTATTAAAACGCTGCTAGCGTTTATTAGGCTGAAAATGAGGCATTTATTTTATGCCAACTGTTTCGATTAAACCGAAGGGGAAAACGAAGAGGCCTCCAACCGTCGATCGCCATCACCGCAGCCACCATCTTCGCGAGCTACCGACAGTCGCCACTACCGCGTGAGGAAGCCGGCCATCACCGCCTCCTCCTGCCGCTGGTCGTCTTCGCCGCATCAACGGTATCACCTCGCCGCCGTGCACCGATCGTCATCTCCGATCGTAGATCGCACCGCAGAACAGGTAAGGGTTATATATAAAAAAAAATGCATTTTGTTTTGTTTTTTTTTTTAAATAATTTTGGATTCAAAGATTCGAAGGAAAGAAAAACAATGTAAACAATCTTTGTATTTCGAAAAAAAAAAAAACAAAAAAACAAAAAAAAAAGGTTGTTTCGAACTAGCCGTAAAAGAAAGTTCACTTCAGTTTTTTTTCAAAACTTAATACATTTTTTTTGAGAAAAAAACTGAGAAAATTTTGTTATTTCCGAAACTTTGTTTTTTGTTTTAAAAAAAATTGTTTTTGGTTTTGAAAAAAAAAACAGTAAACAAAACTGTATTATATATAGACATATTGAAAAAAAGATAATATTATACTGGAAATGCATATATATATATATATATATATATATATATATATATATATATATATATATATATATATATATATATATATATATATATATAAATATAAATCAGATAAGATCACAGTATCAAAATATACTATTTATGCATATATGTGCATTACCTAGTAAAAGTATAATCATATTCCCAAAATTCACATATTCACATATATGAGTTAAAAGGTAAGCATATTTCAAAGTTCATATATTGATAGATGCATAAAACAGATATGTTATTAGATGCATACATAGAGATAAAAACATTTTTGAATTTATCGTCCATATGAAATCCTCACATAGTAATGAATATCATAGTGAGAAATAAGCAGTACATATATTCATTTACAGATAGTGAAGCAAAGCACGGATATGATAGTTTTTAGCAACTATGGGAAAAAGAATACTGTTCACCGAAGAAAATTGGGAGCGTGCAGATAACGTGTTAAAAGATTTGATGCCCGTTAGCCCGTTAGCTTTTAACCGGTGGATTTGTAGGAACAAAAATAAAAGTACACTATGGAAGTAGCTAGAGAGAATATGAAGACCCCAAGAGAAGGAATCAGCCATTGTAATATGAAGAATCAAGCTTTTATAGTACAAAGTGATGTCTGTTACAAATCAATACATAATGACTAATCAATATCACTAAATGGGAATAATGTCCATAAATAATATATTTTGTAACAAATTTATAATAATTGCATAACTTCACTTATAATAATAGATACAATCAAATCAAGTCATTGTTTCATTCCAACACAAATCGGATACAATCAAATCAAGTCATTGTTTCATCCCAACACAAATCAAGTTTATGCAAGATTAAGACAGATAGAATGAAGTGCTAATTCAAAAGTGGCACATTCGATTCCTAAATCTAGTCCTGGCCTTGAATATCAAAGAAGCTGACTATTAATCCGCCTTATTCAATAACCTTGTTGTTTTCCATCCCCTCCCAAAAGTACATTAGCACCATTGGGTTCTACAAACAAATGGAGGGACGCATTATTTTGTAGAAAACGAGCTTTATCACTGGTTAAAAAATTTTCTAAAATGTAAAATTGTATATTCCAGGGGTTATCACAAAATGTAATGGGTATTTTTTTTTTCCCATCAGCCTCCGGTTGCATCACAACCTTGTTTAGAAACCTTCAAAACTCTTCTCACCCATGATCTAATGGGTCAATTTCTACCTCTACATCCCAATCTAAGTGCACATAAGTGGCCCTTTAGTTAGACCAAGGCCACAAAACATGTGGGAACATTTCATATGGTCCTGCCTCATTAGAACAACGACACTCCTCGTTAGCAAGAGTGATGTACCCATCATCTACAACAATGCGACACATTATGGTATTTTCGTTCATTCCTGCTCCATTATATATGATTACCACTGGGATAGTATCCTCTTGTTCGTCAGAGTCAGTTTTTTTTCTTGCTTATTAGAATTATCAATATGTTGTTGGTGCCAATATTTTTTTGTATCTCAGCACTGCACTGTGCTTACTTCTTATTTGGTCATCCATTTCCGATTAGGTCCTAACAATCCCGTGACCTTAGCTCTGATACCAATTGTTCAATCTTATAATGCACTATGCTTACTTCCTTCCTAGTAGCTCTGATACTAATTGTTGGATAGACGCTTTTAGATTGGTGTTTAAAAGTGTTTTAAATTTTATTGATGATAGTCGAAGTGTTAAGACTATTGGAAAGTCAGAATTGGATATTTATTTAGAGGAGCCAAAACTTGAATATGCATACTATTAGGACTCAGTTCTAATAATAAACTAGTATAGTACCCGTGCGATGCACGGATAATAATATATATTCAATAATTACATTATTTATCAAATTTAAATAATGTAATTAAATAAATAAATACTCAAAATATTATATAATATTCTAACAATATCTTATTATAATAAAGTATGTATAGTACTTAATATCAAATTTTGCTTTATAATGACTTAGTGTTGGTTATGTGTATTGTTTAAGGTGTTCAAGATAATATATTTCTTTAGTAAATGCAGCTCATGCGTGTTGCTTCCATGGTGGACCAGCTGGGTCACCTTCCATGGTGGATCATGGTCCAAAACGACATCGTTTTATATCAAATGTCAATTAGTACATCATATTTTATAACATTATCATAGACTATGTTCATAATGTTTGTTCTATACGTCCATAAATCAAACTTTAGTGTCCATAAACATAAAACTAAATATACATTATATGCATTTTCATTCATCTATAGTTTGTTCATAATATTCATTCTGTATGTTCATAAAAATAAAGCTTAATGTTCATAGACAATATACTATGAACGCATCATGTTTAGTAATATTCATTGTGTGCTATACTCATAATATTTGTTATAGATGTCTATAAACATAAACATTAAAGTTCATGAACATTAAACTAAATATACATCATATGTATTTACATTCACTCTATAGTAGGTTCATAATGTAATAGGAACCAGCACACATGGAATCCAATAAGGGTCTATAGTGGGCTCATCACAAGGCCAAAAAGTACATCCTTAAAGCATCATTGGTGGAAAAAATCAAGGAATTCCAATAATAATTCCATTCGATAGAGGAAAGTATTATAGTGGCCCGTTTCAAGTGATGTCACGGATCGAAGACAATGTTTATAAGATTCGAGGTCGAATCATTTTTCAAGAAGGGGAGGATGATGCGGCCCAACATAATGAAGATCCATTAAGATTACAAATTGGGCCAATCACAAGATCCGAGGCCCAAATCAGCTTTATTATTTGTGGTCATCATTTATTTTAAATTGTTTAGAATTAAAGAGAAAACACTAGTTGTATTTAGAAAGGATTCCTTAAATCCTTTTCTAAATAAAACTCTATTTACTTGTTTTCTAGATTAGGTTTAGGACTCTTTTTCCCATTGTATTTAGATTACAATGCTGCCCTATACCTATAAATAGGGCACATCCATATCAGTTTTGAGGAGGCTTTAATTCAATAAAATTCTTAAGTCTTTCTTTACACTTGTGTAAGAAACCTTATGGCTAATTGTGGACTCAATTAGTGGCTAGTCGTGGACTCGACTAGCAAATTGATTCGTGGACTCGAATCAATCTTACTTTCTTCAACCTTAGATTTAGGTTCGTGGACTCGTTCTTGAATCGAAGGAAACTAGATCCGACTCTAGTTGATTGAAGATTGCAATATCAAGGTACTTGAAGCTACATGGGATTCTTCCAAGTCTTTGAGGATTCGAGACAAAGGGTTTCTTGTGAGGTCTAAGGTATTTTGATCCATCTCTATCTTTACTTGTGAGAGCATTCTTGGGATAATATTCCATCTTTATGTGAACCTTGGACTAGATTCATATCATAATGTTAATAAAAACCAAGTTTAATGTATATAAATATTACTATAGACGCATCATGTTTAATAACATTCATCACGTACTATGTCAATAATATTTAGAAAAAATTTCACTTTTAGTCCCTTGGCAATAATACATGAATCACATTTGGTCCGTGACTATTAAAATTTTTTAATTAGGTGCATGGCTATATAATTTGTATCACATTTGGTCTTGTCGTCCAATTTCCCAACTAACTATTGTCGGAAGTGCTGCATTTGCTTCTTCCGGAATGACTACTTATGGAAGGAGCACTGCATGCATTTACTTATTCCGGAAGGAGCACTTCCGACAATAGTTGGCCGAAAAAATACATAGACATGCACCTAATTAGAAAATTTTAATAGTCAAGGACTAAATGCGATTCATGTATAATAGTCAGTGGACTAAATGTGAAATTTATTCTAATATTTATTCTATATGTCTATAAACATAAGTTGTAATGTCCAAAAATCCTAAACTAAATGCACATCATCATATGCATTTCTATTCATTTTATAGTAGGTTCATAATGTTATTTCTATATGTTAATAAAAACAAAGCTTAATGAGTTAATGTATATAAATATTACAATAAAGTAATGACTTTATGTACCTATAGATTTATTTAAAAATTAAAAATAAAATATATCAATATGTATGTCATTCAAAATATCTTAATTAGAGCTGTTTAATGATACATTTTTTATACATAAGTTGTATTTTAACAAAAAGAAAAAAGAGAAAAACATAAACTCAAGTTAAAATTAACATAAAATTACCATATGAAAAAAAAAAAGTGTAATTAATTTTAATTTTAAATGATATTTTTGTTCAAATAATTAATATTACAAAAATGCTCCTAAATTTTGGGGGAAAACCTTTCCAGACACTTCTATTATTATTATTATTATTATTATTATTATTATTATTATTATTATTATTATTATTATTATTATTATTATTATTATTATTATTATTATATATATATATATATATATATAAAAGGCTAATTTCATTAAAATATTAAATACATATATGCTTATATTTTCTATATTTATATATTTTGCCCATTTTCGTATCTTGTATTTTTTTTATGTTTTATTGTTCAACTTTATTTCTTTAGATTTTATCAATTATAATGAGATTAAACTTTAGAGCAATAATAATTAATTTATAATAATTGCGTCACCTCAATTATAATAATGTATACAATCAAATCAAGTCATTGTGCTATTCGAATCAAGGTTGCAAAGTGTTCCTCGCCTAACACCTAGGCACCCGTATTTTTTTTTAATTTAAAAAAAATTAAATTCATTTAAGACTTGGTAATTATAAACTATTTAATACTTTAATAGTTAGTACTAAAATATTATAACATCTAGAATTGTAAATTGTATAAAAATTTAAAGAATCAAAACACAACACAAATTATTAATATTAGAGTACCTGATTTTAATTTTTAATTACATTTGTTGGATTTGTCACCAATTTGAACCATTTTGGGCTATTTTAAAATTATTGATTAATTATTAAATTAACAATTTTGAAATTATGTATTTATTATGATTTATGAAGTTTCTCTTTTCTCAAAAGTTTGAATTCCCAATTCAGAACCCTCACACTTCAATCAAACAGAGTGTTTAGGAGTCAATGACTCAGTAGATATGTTCAAATGCTACTGTATATCTATTTACGGGATCTGTCCATTTTAAACATTTTTTGAAGGGGTCCATTTTGAACATAATTTCACACTGCTGTTACAAATTTTGGTCTCTTTTATCAAATACTCTCTCTATTGAACTAGTGAGCTAACCTCGTACGTGCATTTATGAAGTTTCTCTATGGATGGAAGATGGACGTGTAATATTAGCGGTAAAAAGTTGGATTCGATCTCCTTATCCACACTTTCCTTTCATCATCTCCAGCAAAGCCACGCTTTCGCAGTTGAGCTCGCTCGCTCGCTCTCATTGAAGCTCAGCTCAGCTCAATGACAATGGCTGCTGCTTCTTCTTCTTCATCTATAATCCCAACCCTGTCCTCCTCACCCTCCACCTTATCCCTGCTTCATTCTCCCTCTCCTTCATTCGTCGTCTTCAAGGCCGTCCCCGGCGCCTCAAGGCCACTGCTGCGCCACAAAAAATGGAACAAGCATTCCGAGGTGGTCGTCAAGGCCGAAACATTGGAGTTCTCCGGATCGTTATTTGAAGGCGGGATTGGAGAAGACGACGAGCCGCCATCGATTCCCGGCTGGGGTATTTCCAATATTGAAGATAAAGAGGAGCCCCAGTGTCCTCCGGGGCTGAGGCAGTATGAAACCATGGCGGTTCTGCGCCCTGACCTGTCGGAAGATGAGCGCCTAACTCTCGTCTCCAAATATGAAGAGGTATTCAACTTAATCCTGCCCTTTCTTGCTCAATCCATTTTTTTTCTAGTGTAAATTGTATAATATATATATGCTCAATATATCAAGTGTGTATGTGTCAAAGATTGAAACCTTTGTATATACATGATGACATAACCCAGAGCTCATAATCATAATTTATTCAAAGATTAAAAGGAAAGTTTCAGGTTTTGTTGAAAAAAAAAAAAGAGGGGTGAAAGGGGACCCTTTACCATTTTATGGTAATGTAGGATATTGAAAATTTCAGTACATAAATACATCAAAGAATTCATTTCATTGGGTCATAATGTATGAGATTTATGATCAATACATGAGAGCATAAAAACATGGGGGGTGTGGATCCTTAACCAAACGTCAATGGTTCGATCTTTGGCTTTGAATATGGAACAACCTTAAATCTCAACCTTGTGGTTACCAAATCAACACCTTCACCAACTTGGTTAAGGTTGCCCCTTATTTATTGGACATTTGATAGGGGATTTGAGATTGATACATGAGGGCATATGGCATAAAGCAAGCTAAAAGTATGTAAACATACCTTTATGAAATAATTGGAACAATATACACCAGGAAACTAAATGAACTTTTCCCTATAGAGCTCTCCAATGAGTTGAGGAGACCTAGCACTCTTTGCCTGTCTTATGGGCCTTCCATTCAGTATCACACCTCTTATATTTAGAGTTCAAGTCTACTTTAGAATACCATAACTTTCTGGCCTTAAAAAATATCTCAATATTGCCCAATAAATAATTATAATCGAAATGAATATAATATACAATGAATGACAGCTCACATGAACATTCCAACACATAACACCAATAAGACAGTGTAGTAAGTAAGCATTACAGTTCAGAAATAAGGACAAGGGGCTTATGAATTACGATTAAAGTCTTCATGTTGCTCCATCATTTGTGATTCTCATTGAGAGATAGTGGCTTATGTCTGGGGCTTTCACCGTTTCTTACACTGAGATAAGTGCATTTTTGGAATGTACAGAAGCCAATACAGGTAAAAGCAAGATGTTTGTTTGATAATTTCTGCTAATCTAGCATTCTTTATAGCTTATCATCGTATGACAAGTGTTTTGGCTTTCAAGTCGATCTCAGTTTCTTATTTTTACTTATTCCCTGGCCCCCTATGTGCATAAGACATCAACTGCTGCTTCTGCTTAACGTTTCTAAGCTTGCGTTTAGTATGGCATTACGGAAGCTTGACTCGAAGTAGTTGAAACTATGAGGAAAAAAAAATCAGAACTAATTAAAACAATAAGCAATTTTCTATTTTCATTTTCTTTACTTTTGTTTGCACGGTGATTGCTGAGCATATAATATATCAATCTATGAGCTTAGGCTAGGCTTTTAGTTGAGATGGAGCATATGCTTCTATTGTGATATCTATCTTGGAGTTACGCTTTTGCACCAAATTGAATAATAGAAAGGTAATGATAATACACATTTGCTTGTGATGGGAGCTGAGGTTTAAATATTTTAAGCATCAGAGCTCTGCACTAGAAAGTAGAAACCTTAATAACTTTTAAGGACATTGACATAAATGATGCCACTAAAATAGTTAAATCACTGTTAATACTAAATACTTGAAACTTTGAGCTCTGCATTTGAATTTCTATTTTTCTTTCCTAGAGGGATCTAAAACAGTAAAACCAGCAATTTGTTTAAGCCATACTAACAGCAATAGTGAATTCCTTAATAGTGGTAAGATTGTATCTTGTAAAAAATTTTCAATTTTGACTCGGTGAATCCCTCTTTAGTTTATCCCACGTACTTCTCTGATTGTATCGAGTCCTGGGATCGTTTTAACTAAAACTGCAAGATCCAACATTTGTGAAACCTGGTACTGCAATTGAGGTTTCGACCATGGCTAGCTAACTCTAAGTGCTCTTCTATCTGAGTTTTTTTTATTTTCTTGGCAGTTGCTTGTTGCTGGTGGCGGGATGTATGTGGAGGTGTTTAACCGAGGGGTTATTCCTCTCGCTTACAACATCAAGAAGAAAAACAAAGCCGGAGAGACCAACACCTACATGGATGGGATTTATCTCCTATTCACCTATTTTACCAAGCCGGAGTCCATAGCAGCCCTTGAAGCCACAATGAATACCGACGATGATGTCATCCGTTCATCCAGTTTCAAGTTGAGGAAAAGGAAGTTTTGATTTGCTTGCTTGCTTACATCATCCAGGAAGCTGTTCTTTTAAGATTTAGCCATGTTTTTGAGGTAATTTGGAAATAAGGACAAAAAAAATGCAGGTATATTTGTTTCTACTGACAATCTGACATGTACAATGCAATTTCATGTTATGAAGCTGTGCATAGGATTTTAGTATGAGAATCTGATTAATCCCCAGATTCTGCACTAATCCTTAAACAATTATTCTTCAACTCAAATTTGATCATGAAAAATTTTTCCACTGTCAGTTTGTGCCAATACTTTTTATGCTTGCCCACTTCCCAGATATGCCTATGTAATTGCTCATTCCCCAGATATGCCTACTGCCTATACAATTACTTTTTTTTAAAAAAAATTATAATTACATTACTTTATACCAATGATATCCAATTTCTTTGGACATATTACAACTAACTATAGATACAAACACTCTGACCAAGTTAACAATTATATATACATATTATGCTTTAGAAATTTTGAGTGTATACAAATGCGGGAAAGTTTGCAGCCGTTATTGGATGGTGCATTTTGGGTTAAACCCGTCTTGTGATCCTAGCTAACAAAGGACTATAAAGAAGTGAAGCAGCATAGATTGCCTATAATGATCGGTTCAAACAAAGGGTGTGTGTAGTTCGCACATGGGAATCGGAATTGGAATGAGAATCAAATACTTGTTAATGATAATGTGTTTTGTTAAAAGTATTTTGCATATTTGATAGTATGGTGGAATTGGAATTATTACCAATATTGATGTTTGGTTGTGTATGATCCTATAATGGGAATAAAAGTTTTAAAAATACAGAAAAACAAAAACTCAAGGCAATTGATCTTAATATAATAACATCCAAAGCATCCATATTAACAAAAATCTAAGAGTACTAATCCAAACTTATAAATTAGATTACCAATAAGATGGAATGATGCCATTTTTAATTAGAGAATAAAATTTTTAATTGAATGGATAATCAAATCTCATAGTTGTGTTTTAAAAAGTTGTCAATCAATCACTAATTATAATTTTAATTCGCATTTCTAGTATGTAAACTCATGAACCAAACGCACCCTAAATGCGTATCCAATACTTAATTATAGAAGATATGAATATTCTTATTCTGTCCTTTTGATCATATCTTTAGACAATCTCATACATGGTGGTGGGGTTTGATTGATCCCACTTTGAGAGAAAGGGAAATGAGGAGAATCTTCATAATCCACACCCAACAAGAAGATCTTATCCAGGGCAATAGGGCATTTAATTTTCAGGAGTGCCTATAATGAAAAAAAAATAAAATAAAAATTGAAAAAAGGTTAAAATGTTTGATGACATGATCTACAGAGGGGAAGAAAAGTCAGACTTAGAAAAGATTAAGGTGGATTTGCATAACTAGGTTTAGATATTTCTTAACAATGATTTGTCAGTCCACCTTAATATAATCTCAGTGGCCAGTGGCCACTGCGTCATTTCCGAACCCAAAATCCCATTTTTTGTTTTGGAAAAATTAAGGAGAAATATTTTGAATAAAATATTAGGGTAAATGGTCGTCATAGCCAATAATTCGAAAACTTAATTAGTATGATTTGGGTGGCCTTGTATAATATTATGTTAGGTCATTTGGTAGACTAGTAACATGTCGTAGAGTAGGCTCTCATGTTGCATCACGCTTGGTGCACATAGTTAATTGTTGGTTGGCAGTCTGAAAAATGAGAATCAGAATTAGAGGTGGTCAAATCTCAGATCTGAACTGGTCTCATACTGGGTTCGAATCGGGTCTGAGCTTAAGTTAGCACTGATCAGGACTGACTCTTTCAAGTTTTTTTTTTTTATTGTGACGCTCAACTAGAAGGTAAATAGTTGATCAGGTGGCTTAACTTTGATCCATTAGTCTCAACTAGTTAGTTAACAAGGTTGAAGTCCTGAACTATTCTTCCGTGAATTTGCTTGGTCAAAGTATTTATGAGATCCCTATACCATAGTGTTTTGTTCAATTTAGTCTTTGTACTCAAACATTTACTATTTGAGATTGAGTGACATTCATCTTAAATTATAGTCATTCCGTATTAAAATTAGGGATGACAACGGGACGGGGCCCGGCAGGGAATTAAAAATAGTCCCCATCCCCGCCCCCGCGGGGAATTAGGCGAAGACGAGGATTCCCCGTCCCCAGTTGACTCCTTGTCAAAATTTTAAATTATTGTAATTTTTAATTTTAAAAATTAAACTTTTAACTTTAAAAAATTAATATATATATATATATATATATATATATATATATATATATATATATATATATATATATATATTTATTTATTTATTTATTTATTTATATTTATATTTATATTTATATTTATTATTACTATTATTATTTTTAATTTTTAATTAAAATAATTAATCGGGGACGGGGCGGGGTGGGGTATCCCCATCCCCATTTCCGTCCCCGCCGGGGAATTTCAAAAATTTCCCGTCCCCATTTTCAATTCCCGAAATTTTTCCCCATCCATGTTCCCATCCCCAACGGAGACAGGAATCCCCAATGGTAACGATACATATTACCATCCCTAATTAAAATCATTATATTATACTCCTACACCATACAATACGATTTATATTCACTGTCTATATGAATTGTTAAATAAAAAGTATTATATTAAATGTGTTTTTTGTTTCCAAACAATATAATAATTCGGAAAAGTTGAAGAGAGACTGTTGTGCGACAAACATAAGGCATATAATGTCTGTTGGATGGGCCATCGATCAGTACTAAATTGCTATTACTTTACTCATCGGATATGTTTATCTCTCAATTTATAAATTAAAGACCACTTGAGCTGAGTGTGATAATATCCTGGAAATCATCTTCTTTAATTTGTGGATGACAGGCAGAATAAATTCTGTACTTCATACATTATATTATGCACAATAAACAATCCCACCTCTTGCTAACCGTTAATCGTGCCAACATTTCAAAACTTTTAATTATAATTAGTCCAAACTAAAAATCTTATTAATATTTTTTTTTAATGTCGAGTTTAGTTATAGATTTGAACTAATGTATGTTGGCTGATATGATTCAAACTTCTCTCGCTTGAGTTAATGTTTTTTTGCTAATTTAACCAACAATTTAAATGGGAAAATGACGCTTTTCTCGTTTTCTAAGTATTTGGGTATAGTGAACTTAATTTCTCAATTATAGATATTTTGAGTTTTGATCCTCCAGTTATAAGCGTAGTGGCTTTTTCCCCCTCTTCAAAATGGAGTCACTAGAGATTGCTAATTTCAATCTCAAAATCTAATTTCTTGGGACTAATTAAACTTGTAAATTCACCTTATTAGTTGTCTATTTCCTCCAATAGATGGATTACAGTGACAAAATCCCTAATTTTTTTTCAAAATCTATAACTTTAACAAAATAACTTGAATGCATATGTTTTTCCTCGATGTGGAGAGAAGGGAAAGATGGGAAATTGAATATATGAAGGATGAAAAAACTAAGGTAAATTTACAAGTTTAGCCTTGAAAAATTAAGTTTTTAGGTTGTAATTAGTTGCCACTAGCAATTTTGTTTTTATGGAGAGAAAAAGCCACAAAACTAATAATTGGGGGACTAAAAATAATCGTAGGATTTGTGAGCAGTCTCTTGTTTTAGGAAGCAAAGCGGTGGAGGACATAAAGTGCTACTAGTGGAGGACAAAAAGTGTCATCCTTATAATGGTAGGATTTAATATAATATACTATATTGTTATAATTGGAGGACAAAAAGTGTCATTTTTTCGAAAATATAAATATTTTTTTATACTATTAGAAAAAGGAAAATATACATGATGAAGTTTTTCTATTGAAAGAGTTGATAGTTACATACATGCATAGAAGGTTTTTTTTTTTTTTTTTTTTAAAGGTGATATAGCAAGTATTGTTAACAGTCTTAGCAACAACTGTTCTGAAATTGCTTTTTATTTTTTATTTTTCTTTAATATTTGTGTATAAATGATAATAGTAAAAGTAAGATAAAGTCACACTAAAATTCAAAGATGGTAGGAAAAAATATATTACTTTAGTAAGTGTTAGGAAGATAATTGTTAAGATTAGGCTATGCTTAATAAAATAATGGAGTGTAATTAAGTTAAGGCTGTGGGGGTTGGAGCTGTAGTGGGAAGCTATGAGCTTGTCCCATCACTGCAACAACTAATCATGAAATGGTTGATCAGATCAGATCACTTTTTTGATCTCAAAAAGCACTCTCATTTCTAGCAGTCTCTACACTAATTGAAAAGAGTTTTATGGTAGTTAGTTAATGGCCAAATAAAGGACCTGCAAATTAAAGGCAAGTAGATGTTATGAATTATATTGACTGAAGGTGAGTTAGGCTTTCATCTATGACAAGAAATAAAGTCTAAAAGTGTCTCAAGACATAGCTTGGTTGGTTAAGTAATTCAAAGAGAGTTAATAATTCTGTTTTGTTGAGAATTGCAAGGTGTCAAAAGGTATAGCTTATCCTCTCAGCACTTGTCAGCAGTGTTGCAAAAATCGCGTCTAGGCGGTCGGCTTCCTAGGCGCCCGTCTAGGCGTTTTAGGCGGCCGCCTAGGCGCCCTAGGCGGTCCCCAAGCGCCTAGAGGGCGCCTAGCGATTTTTTCAACATTGCCTGCGAGCCATGTTTTCAAAGGAATTCAATTGCACAGCATGCTCTTTAAGCCGACATGTTCTGATATCAATTGTCAAGATTAAACGCTTACCATTATACCAAAAACTATAGCTAGTAGCGAAGATATAATATTATTTCCTAGCTTAATTAACAGTGAGGGCCACGTTGGAATGATTGAATATATGCTGGACTTGACTCTCTGAGCCTCAGCCAATAATTTGTTTAAAGAATAAAGCTAAAAAGTGGATGATTGCCACTTATTATTCTTAAAAAATGGAAGTGGGAGTGACAACAAAGGAGGGTGGGGGTGGCTATAGTGGGAAGCTATGAAAGGGTTGATCACTTTGTTGGATCTCAAAAGCACTACTACCATTTCCAGCAGTCTTCTACACATGATTATTATTATCTTTATCAATGATCATGTCTTCCTAAATTTCATCAAATCTTGATTCCTAAAACAACACAACACAACCCTTTTTTTTTTTCTCCTCTTCCCCTATATTACCCACCATCTCTCTGCACAATCCTCTCCTCAACTGCCCTTTTCTCAATTTGATCATCAACTAAAACATCTGTTTTCTGCTCTTCTTTACCAATTAAGTCTTTGAGGTTGATATCATGGGGATGCCTGAAAGCAGTACTGCCAGTAGCCCACCTCACTTGTACCCTCAAACACTTCAACTCAAACTCTACCAAGCTTTCATTTTCTCAATCCCAATACTGTTCTCCATCATACTGTTTCTCTTGTTTTACTTGTTCTATCTCAAGAGAAGGATTTCCAATGCCTCACCCACTCTCCCAACAAGATCAACTAATCATCCTTCTCTGCACACTCCCATGGTATACTAATTTCTTCTTCTTCTTCTTCAATTTCATATTTCTTGCCTAGTAGGTACTACAGATTGAAGAGTCGAGTCGAGTCTAGCATACTGTTATTGAAACGTAACTCTAATTGCTTGAAGATGATTATATTGTCTTCCATTTTTGCAGAGTGGAGGAGGTTTAAAAGGGGTGATCCAGAAGGTCAAGCTTCCAGTAATAGTGTTTGGTGAAGATTCTGCTATGAAGGAATCGCAGTAAGATCAAACACTTACCTTAATTATTTGCTGCTAAACTTTTACTGCATAATCAAGAAAATAGCAAAATTAGCCCACGTAGCTCAGTCTTGTTCCTAGGTGGTAGTTTGTGGACAAGTATACAAAGTTGAGTCCCCGTACTGGAAATAACACCTAATATGGTGGGTTCTTTGTGGGCACCGGCCAAATTCTCTCACATGAACTGTTAAGTTACTGCAATTTAATTACCCATTTCACTATCAAGTTGGATCGAAATGGGGAGCCCTAGGCAGAGAGAATTTCACCTTTTGTGGGCAAGAAAATAACAAAATTATTAAATTTGCAGGTGTTGTTGTTGCATTTGCTTGGGAGAATTCGAGGAGAAAGAGGAGTTGCACCAGCTTCCACCATGCACGCACATATTTCACACTCAGTGTATAACCCACTGGCTGCGTTCAAACTCCACTTGCCCAATGTGCAGAAGCCCCGTCGTGGTCGTCACGACGGCGCCCAACTACCCGCCGCCGGCTTCCCCTCCGGCGGCATCCAGTATTCCCGACATCAGCAACGACCAGAATAATGCCACACGACATCCTCGTACCAACGACGACGACCAAAACGAGGAACATAGAACGACGGACGACGGATTGTTGTGTAGATCCGATTGTGGCAGCAGAGAAGAGGAAGTGGTGATCACCATTAATCTGCAGGGCTCATCATCATCATCATCATCATCAAACAGCTTGTAACTAGCTAGTAGAACTTAGATAGATAGTGCTTCCAACAAGAAAGAGAAAGTCAAACCAAACTTGTCATGATATGCCATAGGAATCACAAATGAAACCTGCAATCGCAACAATTGTGTCACGTTGCACTTTTTTTGGATGACATACCCAGAATTTCCACAGTCTAACATAGTGACTAATCCCTAACTGAATTGTAGGCACCTCTTTTGGGTGTGACGTCCCACTTTAACAACTCATTAACTACTCTACCAATTCCATTTAATTTGGATCATATCATGCCTACCAGCACCATCTACTTTTGTACATACAACTGTTTTATTAGGGTGAATAAAGAGTACAAGTCAAGTGAAGTTAGACTAAAGGAGTAGTTAGGTGATTGGTGATGGTAGATTGAAGCTAAGGGTTCCTGTCTTGTATATATGCTCATTTTGATCTAAAACATGAGAAATGTGACATTTATAGTGGAAGGCGGCTATCAATCAAAATATCAAATGATAGCTTTTGTATGAGAAAAATTGACGTGTCATTAATAGATTATGAACTTAACTGATATTATTGATGTAAAACAATCAGCTTTAAATAGCATACAAGGGAGAGAAGATAGTGAGGAGTTGACAGGTTGTTGTAACAACCAGTCTAACAATGCTACATAAAAGGGATGCAACTAGATTTAATTATATACAAAATATGTCAGCCACAAATATCCTTAACACGCCCCCGTAAGATGGGGGAGATCGGAAACTCCAATCTTGGAACGGAACCGAAGAAACAGCGAACGGCCCAACGGCTTTGTAAGAAAATCAGCAAGCTGAGCCGACGAAGAAATATGTCGAACCACCAACGAACCATTAGCAACCAAGTCCCGAACAAAGAAATAGTCGAGCGCGAGGTGCTTCATGCGTGAATGGAACACTGGGTTCTTACACATATACGTAGCGCTGAGGTTGTCACATAGTAGAACCGGAGGCCCCAACAGCTGCAATCGAAGCTCATGCAACAGGTTCTTAACCCACAAAACTTCTGCAGCAGCATTCGCCAAGGCTCGATATTCGGCTTCTGTAGACGAGCGCGAAACTGATTTTTGACGAGTGGATTTCCAAGAGACGAGATTGGTCCCAAGATACAATAGATAAGCGGTAGTGGACCGCCCACTGGCAGTGCAGCCACCCCAATCAACATCCGTATACACACTTAGTGAGAGAGGCTGCCCGGCACGGAGGTACAACCCATGGTACACCGTACCCTTCAGGTAGCGTAACAACCGTTTCGCAGCTTGCCAGTGCACCTCCGTAGGCATATGCATGAACTGTAAGACCGGTTAACTGCATAGGACACATCAGGTCTAGTGATGACCAGGTACTGCAACAAGCCAAGAAGACGCCGATACTGAGTTACATCCACCGTAGCAGTACTAGATTGCGCAGGGAGTAACTTGTCTGATGTTGCAAGTGGTGTTGAAACAGCTTTTGCACCATCCATATAAAAACGAACCAGTATGTCTGTGATATATTGACTCTGAGACAGGAACATGCCAGTGGGTGTTGAAACAACCTCAACACCTAGAAAGTGATGCAAGGGACCAAGGTCCTTAAGGGCAAAGCGAGCTGCCAAAGTTTCAACAAATTGATCAAGCCATGCAACATTGTTTCCTGTTAGTATAATATCATCGACATACACCAGGAAATAAACAATAATATCATTAGCAGAATAAACAAACAAAGATGCATCTGCCTGTGACTTCAAAAACCCACAACGCAACAAGAACTGGGAAAGTTCCAAGTACCAAGCCCTGGGAGCCTGTTTAAGACCATATAAGGCTTTGGTCAGTTTGCATACATGAGCTGGAAAGGACGGATCAACAAATCCGGGAGGCTGCTCCATAAAAACCTCCTCATGCAATGTTCCATTAAGGAACGCATTATTGATATCTAGCTGGCGCAGACCCCAGCTATTACTCAAAGCAATGGTCAGAACGATATGGACCGTGACCGGTTTCATAATCGGGCTATATGTCTCAAAATAATCTCGACCAGCAGTCTGCAAGAATCCTTAGAGACAAGCCGCGCTTTAAAACGATCAACCGACCCATCCGATTTGCGCTTAACACGGAAGACCCATTTGCAGCAAATCGGAACAGCCGCTCCGCGGGGAACCAGTTGCCACGTGTTGTTACGTTGCAGCGCTTCAAACTCCTCATCCATTGCTTTCCTCCACCGAGCATCTTTAAGAGCCTGGGCGACAGTAGAAGGTTCTAAAGCAGGAGGCAATGGATGGGAAGTGGTGTGGTTAATGACATAATCGGAATACCTAGGATTAGGACGACGCTCCCGAGTGGAACGACGAACATTATTCAATGGTTGAGACGATTCTGAGACAGTGGGAGACGATGAATTGGACGCAGCCGACGGCGATGGTGTTGGAACTGGAGTTGGAATCGGAGTTGGAACTAGACTTGGAATCGGAGTTGGAACTGGAGTTGGAACTGGACTTTGAACTGGAGTTGGAACTGGTGTTGGAACGGGTGTTGGAACTGGTGTTGGAACACCCACGGGTTGTACCTGTGTAGACAAAGGAGACGATTTGCACAAAATATGACGTGAGTCTAAAGCATTAGAAGCAGAAGGTAAGCTGGTAGATGACTTCTGCAAATCGTTATAAGGAAGCACATAGGGCACAAATCTAACATGCCTAAATACATAACTACGATTCGAACCAAAATCTAGACATTTATAACCAGATTGGGTGTTCGAGTAGCCAAGGAAAATACATGGACGTGACTTTGGTTGTAGTTTCTTGGTGTTATAGGGACACAACCAGGGAAAACACAGGCAACCAAAGGGTTGTAACTTGGCATAATTAGGCAATTGTTGGAACAAGACATAAAATGGGGATTGATTACCTAAAATTGGAGTAGGGAGTCGGTTAATAAGATATACGGCTGTCTGAAAGGCGTAGGTCCAGTATGAGGATGGCAAAGACGCGGAGTGAAGAAGAGACATGCTAGTTTCCACGACATGCCTGTGTCGTCGCTCTGCGACACCATTGTGCTCTGGAGTGTGTGGCGGGGTGGTGAAATGAGAGATACCGTGAGTATTAAAAAACGGCCTAAGTCTCATGAACTCGCCCCCATTATCTGAGTAAACAGAAATAATTGACAGGTTAAAATATTTTTCCACTAGCTGTTTGAACTGAATGAATATTGTAAACACATCCGATTTACGTTTCATGGGGTACAGCCAAATGTATTTTGAGAAGTGGTCTACAAAAATGACATAATAGCGAAATTCATCAATAGGGTTCTCAGTAGGTCCTCACACATCAGTATAAACAAGTTGCAAAGGTTTAGTGCTAACAAGTGTATTTTTAGAAAAAGGCAGTTTATGACTTTTATGAACATTGCAGGAGGAACAGTAAAATTTTCGCAGAGATGACATGGAGACTGGAACATTACAGCGTTGCAACACCTTATTCGACGGGTGGCCAAGTTGTTGGTGCCACTGAAACAAACAAGCCAACTGCGTAGCATGAACTGTTGGGTGAGAGGCAACTGGTCCAAAATAGACATCATTAATGTTCACTCCCCATAGCAGCGGAATCCCCGTTCGAAGTTCCTTGACCAGAAAATGAGAATCAAAGAATTCAACAGACACACGATTAGTCTTGCATAATTGGGAAATAGAAACTAAATTAGTGTGTAACTGTGGGACACGCAAGACATTATCTAGAGTGAGAACATTAGAAGGAGCGGGAATGACAGATTGGCCAATATGGGATATATGTAAGGAATTACCGTCACCCAGACGCATTTCATCCGATCCACTATACTCGGCGAAAGTCTGCAGAGGAGCGAGACTTGGTGTCACATGGTGCGACGCCCCACTATCAAACATCCAGGGAGGAGAAGCCCTAGTCATTAAATTGGCTGTAGGAGATACATAGGATTGCACAGGAGGAACATCATGCTCCTTTAAAAATCGGGCTAGCTTGCGACACACCCTTGTTTCATGACCCGTAAGATAACAAAACTTACAGACGATACCTGAGCGATTGTGTTCCCCTTGTTGCCAATTGGAGCCATAATGATTGTTATTGTTGCGGGCCCTCCGGTTGGTGTTGGACTGGTGGTTGCGCCGCGGAGGTGACGAGGTGCGTTGACTCGTTGAGTAACATTAGTAGTAAAAAAGGACTGACGCAAAGCATCTGCGTTTGTCAATTGGCGTTCATGGTCAGTCAGCACATCTGCCAACTCGCCAAAAGAAAGAGGCTTCTCACGAACGCGGATGGCCGATGTGATAGAACTGTAATTCTCGCCTAGCTGAGTCAATACGTAGACGATTAGATCTTCGTCAGGTACGGGACACTGAGCCAACGCTAAATCATCAGCTATGGCTCGCATGTCATTGAGATAAGTGGTAATGGACCGAGACCCTCGCGGATTCCTCGTGAGTTTAGCCTTGAGGGATATGATACGTCCTCGTGAGGCATTGGCGTAACTAGCAACAAGACGTTGCCACGCATCATGGGCTGTCGTAGCCGAGGAGATAAGGGGCTGTATGGTGTCAGTACAGCTCCCAAGTAGAGCACTGACAATAACTTGGTCTTGACGATACCAAGCTAAATGAGCCGGGTTGATAGAAGTTTGAGCAGGATCAGTGAATTTGGCTGGTTCCTTGGTTGTACCATCAACATAGCCAAAGAGATTAAACCCAACAAGTGTGGCATGAATTTGACGCCGCCACACCGGAAAATTCACGGTTGTGAGTTTAATTGGGAAGTGTGTTGGGGCATTTAATTTGATTATTATGGTTGTAGTAGCGGAAGCCATTTGGAAGGGGGAGGAGAAAAAAAAAACTTTGTAGGAGAAATTAGGCTCTGATACCATAATAGATTATGAACTTAACTGATATTATTGATGTAAAACAATCAGCTTTAAATAGCATACAAGGGAGAGAAGATAGTGAGTAGTTAGCAGGTTGTTGTAACAACCAGTCTAACAATGCTACATAAAAGGAATGCAACTAGATTTAATTATATACAAAATATGTCAGCCACAGATATCCTTAACGGTCATTACTTCATGAGTTAGGTAGAGAGTCAGTAACGTGACAAATTAAACCTAACAAAATATATAGTGACTCACTCATTACAGGTAATGACAATGTCGCAAACCTATATGATATGTTGAGAAGTTAACATGGAATGTTTGGTCCAAGGGGATCGATGTTAAAAGACGAAGAAGTGTTAAGCCATGATATTGACGTGTATATTATCGCAAGTTACGTTCAAGAACCTCTTTGACTTGATCATCTTGTCTAGATTAACCTTTAGAGCTAGGCTAGCTCTTTGTTGCATCATGGTATTGGGCTTAGTTGCTATATTCTGGCAATCTAGCTATTGGACTCAATTAGTTATTAGATCTTGGACTAACTATTGAATTTGACAAATCTAACAAAAAAGTTATTAGTAGCTTGCTCATCGATTAAAAGCAATGATGGTTTGATCTTGCGTTCTAGATATATGAAGCTTTGTTCTTAGATTGCAGAAATAATGATAGTTATAGTGTTGATATTGGATTGATGAATTCAAGAAGATGACTTTGGAGCAGATCAGAGGGTTTAGAAGATTATTTATTTTGGAAGCTGGAGAAGATAAGGGATGGTACCTGGCCTGAGCACTATATTATCAAATTGCATTCATTTCATCAACTCTCATTATGTATTTGCTTGCATGAGATCCTTCTGATTATATATTTCATAATGGGTCAGAAATAAACATTATTTTTAATTTAAATTTTTAGTAAGAACCGATTTATTCTTCTTGTGATGGATTTGTATAATATTTCAATCGTAGTACATTGTTGATGCGTGCATATTCATTTTGTTTACTGATTAGCTTCGATAACTTTGTGAATATTATGAGTTTCTAACAAATAATATTTGGATTCATTTTGTATGTAGATCCCTGATTTTGAGATTTGCATGAAGTTTTTTGCTTCCCTATTCTATAATAATAATAATAATAATAATAATAATAATAATAATAAGAAGAAGAAGAAGAAGAAGAAGAAGTTACCTTCTAGCGTCCTTAACTTCCGTAATTACAAGGAGAAGAAGAAGAAGAAGAAGAAGAAGAAGAAGAAGAAGAAGAAGAAGAAGTTACCTTCTAGCGTCCTTAACTTCCGTAATTACCATCCGTCATCCTCCGAGTTGTGAAAAGTTACCTTTTAACGTCCTTCCGTTACTTCCTTCCGTCTCGGCCGTCAAAATGGAGGGTAATATTGTCATTTGACTTATACGAAAAGAGTTAATACCAACCAAGGTCCCTCGAGTTTTGTGGTTTGGCCATCTTTAGGTGGAAATTAGAAGCAGAGACGTGGGGAATCTATACTACGTCCATAATTAAAAGGAATTTATTAAGCTTAATGTTAATAAACATACACATATTACGTCCATAATTAAAAGGAAATTAAACGTACACATATTACACTCATATTAAGGAAATTGTTTTTAACTTTCCATAATATAGATTTTATCTAATCAATTAAGGAAATTAATGGTACACATTACAAACATAGTTAAATAAAATTAAATATGAGTTCTACTACATAGACTCCCAAATTCTACTCTCTCATTTATACTCCCTAAGTGGCAAACCAGGATTAGTTATTTTCATCATGTGGGTCCACTGAAAAGTGTCTATATCAAAAGCATGTGAGAGGGAGTACAAGTTGAGAGTTTAAAATGGGAGTGCACCAAGTATTTTTCATTAAATATACACATATTACGGATACAATTAAAAGAAATTAAACATACACATACTACGTCCATAATTAAACGAAATTAAACATACACATTATTTTATTAAGAATAATATATACTCCTTAATTACCATAGTTATTCACATATTACGCTCATATTACCAACCTATATTTAACACTTTAATCTTACTATGGTAATTAAACATAGAGATTCCCTTCATTTGATAATAATAAATGGCACTTTTTCCCCCTAAGTTATATACTTATAACACTTTTCCCCCCTTAATTATTTAGGTAAGCACATTAGCCCCCTCAATTATTCTAAAAGTGGTGGTTTTTCCCCCTAATATATTAAATTGACATTTCTACCCTTAAAGTAAACATTTTATTTATTTTACTTCTCCAACAAATTATTGCGTATACGTAGGGATCACCACGGTTCGGTTCGAACTGAACCAGACGCTATAGCAATCGAATTAAAAGTTTCCGATTATGATTCAGATCGAGAACCCAATATTTGGATTTCAATTTATTAAAATTATGAATCAAAAAAATTGGATCCTAAACCGTGAATCGGCGGTTCCGAATCCGGTTCGCGCTTTTGAACCGTCTTTATTTTAAAATTTTATTTTTTATTTTAAAATAGTCTAACTTCAACAATAAATGTATTTTATTTTTTTCAGTTCGGAACATGAACCGTCCGTTCCAGTTCGCGATTTTGATAAACTCTAAATATCGAGTTTCGATTCTAAATTGTAATTGAAATATTTCGATTTGGTTGCTATAGTGTTTGTTTGGTTTGAACCAAATTATGATCATAATTTGTTGGAGATGAAAAATAAATGAAATATTTATTTTAAGGGTAAATATGTCCATTTAACATTTTAGGGGGGAAAACAGCCACTTGAATAATTAAGGGGGGAAAAGTGCTATAAGTATATAACTCAGGGGGAAAAAGTGTCATTCTCCCCTATATTTTTATTATTTAAAATAATATCAATTAGCCATGCTCTTCCTTTTATTTTTTGTTTAGACTTTTCTTAATATAATTTTTATATTAAGTAATCAATTTCAACACTAATATACAAATCTTATAATTTCAAATAAATGTACACTTTCAAATATTATAATGGTTTATAATTTCATCATTAATTTTATTATTTAAATATATAATAAAAATATTTATCTGTGCATCGCACGGGTAATTATAATGATTGAAATAATTCTTCTCTTGCAAAGGTTAAATCCTCAATCTAAAGGGCTCTCCACACCCCAGCTCGATAAAGCATTTGAGAGAATGTAAATTACAATGACTCAAGGCTCAGTATATGGGGACAAATGGCAGTGTGCACAAGAGATCTATCTGCCCACTTTGAACATAATCCCTATACTGCCGCCGCCGAGATTCAAACCTTGATTTCTTTTCTTAAATACTGTCTGAACCATTGAGCGATTAAAATAATTCTGAGAATAGGTAATAAAAAGATGAGCAACTAAAAAGAAGGGCACCAAGGTGGTGCCACTGTTACCTCCAATCAGTTGATACCTTAACAGAGTTTACAGTTCAAGTCAGAGATTCCAAATTGACCAAAATACAACATTTTCCATATTTACAGAGATACAGAAAAACCAAACTACACTTGCCCACTGCAACTGGAAAACAAGTTTACACATTAACAGAGTCCAATGCCCCCCCCCCCCCCCCCCCCCCCCCCCCCCCCCCCAAACACCCCCACACCTCAACTTGTTCTAACTTGGGAGTTTTACCCCCAATCAGATGGTGTCAATATAGAACTGCCAACTAGCATTCTAGTACTCAGACCCTTCCCATTCTGCAAGAATTTCATTTTTGTTACGCGACAATAATTCTGACAGCCTAAAGGAAAAGAAACTAGAAAGGCTTGTTCGTTCTCCCAACGTCTTTTCCTTGACCATGGGAGTGGACAAGAAAAACAATCCGGGAAGATGGTATACGACTAGAAGGGGGAATTTCTGTCGTTTACAGTTATTGATTCGGTTACTGAAGACGTTTTCTTCACCTCAGTGTTCGAACAAATAAGAATCCTCCTCACCACACTACAGAATTCCCTGCAAATATCAATTAAAATAGCCGTGTTAGGTGACAAAGAAGAGTGAAGCACTTCAACTTTAGTAGGAACAGTAAAAAGGAAGAATATATACTTACAGCCATGGATGATCCCCCATAAGCATCGTGTCCCCCTCATCGTCTGTGAAGACAATTTCCCATTTTTTTCTTGGGCGAAGCTCTCCGTGGATCTCAAACATATCTTCGAGTTCACTTATGAGTTCATCATATCCTTTTATTGCTGTCAAGTCCACTGCCCGCCCCACTGCCACCCCTTGCATTTGAACCTACTCAAAGGATTCCCGTGAAAACACAGAAAGTTTAAATTTTTAGTATTTTCCTTTCAATGGTAGTGAATTCTAAACAAATTACACCGGGGTGTAGTATACCTTGGTACGACTTCTAATAGAAGAATTTTGATTGGTTTGGCCCTCCTTTGGTTGAGTGACCTGTGATAGCTCTTGCTTCAGAGCTTTGGTATCAATAGAAAGGTCGGATTTTTGCTCTGAATCCCCAAAGGACGGTGTCTTGGAGATCTCGATACTTAAACCCCCCGAGGTGCTATTCAGGTCAATACCAAACAACCTACAAGGCGGGGCAGCATCGGATTTTCTTTTATCACCGAGGCGTGTTATTAGATTGCCCTTCTGTTCTACAGTGTGTGCGGGAACGTGGTTTGAAGCATTCGGTTTCACATGAGAAGGCCACGCACACTCCACGACTCTTTGTCCCCGAGGACTACTATTTGCTTGCAACGAGTCTAGGGAAGGATTCCAAACGGTGGATGCAGTTGACAGTGTAGGCTCTGACCAAATTAACAATAAAATTTAAGGGAGGAATTCTTAGGGGCGGGCTCGATAAAGAAGAAATTGAAGGCACATGGCTCACCCAAAACGGTGGTTTCAAGAACTTGTCGAGGCCTTTTGTTCTTTGGTGCTACCGGTAAAGCAAGTGACGAAGGGATTGAAGGCACAAAAGGTTCTATATCCCATGGAGAAACCCTGTCGGGCCTCGTAATAGGGACAGGCTCATCCCAATGAACCTGAAAAAAGGAAGCGAGAATTTAGTAAACTTATGTTCCAAATCCCCAGAAATATATATGCAACATATAGGAACTAACGTCAACCTTCAATGATCGCCAATCAGAGCCTTTCCACTGCGTAGAAATATCTTCAACCCCAACTATGGTGCCCATAAACCTGAATGAAGAAAGTAAAAATCAGACCTTTAAGAAAAATAGAGATAATAACTTGTGAAAGTTCTCCCACCTTCTCTCCGGAGAATCCTCCACTTCAAATCGCATCTTGAATCTCATGCCAACCGAGAACCCTTGATGAACAGCTTCTTGATATTTCCTCATGCCTACTATGAACTGACTCAGTCTGAAAATTTTATCGTGAAAAGCAAGTATAAGTACATACAGAACCAAAAGGCTTCGATTGCAGTTTCAGATTCTACGATATACACTAATAAGATCTAGAAAATTAAGACTTGGATGTTTCACCTCGGCTTGTAGTTAACAACAAAGAGCGTTTTCGTGGTAACAGCATGCGAAGCCGTTGCAAGCACTCCCAGATGCATATTTCGACTTGAAATAACCGAGGATGGAATAGAGTTTTGTTTCTGAGCATGGTGTCTGATTCCAACTCGCAGTTCCCCGTTCTCTCCCCTAGAAGCCAAATTGGTTCCAACAAATTAAAGAAATCATCAACTACGAGGTTGTAGATTATGAAACAAATGCAAAAGACAAAAAACAGAGAGAGCAGCAAATACCTCAAGAATAAAAATGAATCCCCCGCAACCAATCTCTTTGAAGATACAAAGTTACTCCACCCCGTTGTAAGCAGATGTCTTCGAGGTTGGCCTGCACGATAAAATATTAAAAGATGACTTTATCTTGTTTCTTTTGTTGGGAGATGAAACTAAAAAGCAATGGGATACGAAAAATCTTTCTTTAATTCTTTCTACCCAAAGATATTAAAAGATGCAACATAGCATAATATCCCAGAAAATAGTAATTACCTCTAAATATGTGTTTAAAACGCCATTCGATCCCATGAAGATCCAAGGCAACCAGATCTTGTGATGGAGTCTGCTGATTCAAGTCCTACCATAGACCAACCATAAACGGGTTAAAATTTTGAAATAGAGACAAAACATGTCCAATAATAGAGACGGGCAAAAGAACGAAATAACTTGGGACAAGATAATACCAGGGGAGGAAGGCATTCAGTCGCATGCTTCCTTAGAACAGAAAATCCACCATGAGTACTCGTATCTGATGCCGTTAACACCTTGCAGAAAGAGTAAACTTTGGGCCTTGAAGGCTCATGAGAACTCGAAGTCTCACGAGAATAAGAATCTATATTTGTATGCTCCATCTCCTACAAATATCCACCCAGGAATATAAGTTTCATGTGCAAACAAAACGATATTTTTTAAGTAGTACAAGGAAATAGTTTTAGATCCGTACATCTTCGGGCAACAAAGTGATTTGTGCATAAACCTCATCAGTCTCTGGTTCAACCTACAAACAACAATCTTCACATGATCAATCCCTTCACTACAATCAATATATTAGCTCAGTTTGTTAAGGTAAGTATAGTACTCCATATATGATATATCCCAATCTAAATAGCATGTCTGGTCTAACAACACACACACATATATATATGTATGTATATGTTGCTCAAAATTGTTACCTGAAGCTTAATGTTAACAACTTGACAAAGAATCTTGGGTGACAAAGAAAACATGGATGTTTTCTGATCCAACTCTTCATTTGTTGATGCCACCAACTAAACAAACCAAAAGATGGTCAAGATTAAAGAAAATTGACAATTCCCAAAAGTAGAAAAATATCCATAAGGAATCCAATAATGAGAACTAAGATTTAATCAAAGGGTTGAAACACAACAGCCATATAATAAACCAGAAACAGAAAGAAATTCAAGAGCTTTGTAAAATATCTGAACAAAGAAGGGCAATAATTGAACAATTTTTAACTCTAAATTACAAAAAATGAAGAACTCCACCTAAAGCAAAAAGTTGAAACCAACCACAAGAGAATATTCTTACTTGTTCCATGTGCCCCTGCGGGAAATAGTAAACCCTGTCATGATTTCTCGGAACATCCACCAATGGACCTGCACATAACTTCCATAGCTCCTCATAGAGATGATCATCTTGCCCTGAAAATTTCAGACCAGACATTTAAACATTTTCAACCCAAACAAAATCATAGAAAAACAGATCTTTATCTAAGAAACTAAAGTACACCCACCTGGGGCTGAGATGTAGCTTTGTTGTTGCTGAGAAGAAAGGGAACCTCTAGTCGCCATGATCAAAGCAAAGGGAGTTTAATTTCAGAAATTCATGAAAGCCCAGATATCCTCACCCTAAATTCTCCGCATTGCTGGCATTTTATCACATCATTAACCTAGTAACTAGTAATAGCTATTGAGATCAACAACCCCACAATAAATACTGGGTATGTATGAAGCATAACCCTTTAAACAACCGAGAAAAAAGCTGCAAACTTTATCACAACTCCGCCCTTTTGGCTTTTGGTGACCGTTCCAGTACCCACCGTTCAACTTCTCAGCAGGGCATATAGCTTTTATCTTCGACTTTGGTGCCTCAACCCAGAAGAACAAGAATACTACTGCCCACCTGTACTGTGGCTACAAACTTTCTCTACAATCAATGGAGGAAGGAGAAAGAGAGAGAGAGAGAGAGAGAGAGAGAGAGAGAGAGAAAGGAGAGAGAAACGCCATTAGAGCGTCCCGGAAACCAGCATAATATACGCCTCGATTTGTTGCTTTCTCTGTGTGTCTTACACCGAACGTGGATGTCTCCTTTTTCCCTGTAGTGTTGAGTTTTTTTTGTTCATTTTTACATCATTGGTTCAGGGCCACAGACCATTCATTATTACTGTTTTAAGAAATTTAGATTGGTTTATTATTATTATTTTTTTGAAGAACCTAGATAGGTTTATTAATGGGAGAAATGTTCCATTGCTTTATTTTTTAGTTAGACTACGAAGTGTACTGAATATATTTACCTATCGACTTAATTAATGGATAAAGTGTTAATTAGATTAGTCTTTTTTATACGAGAAAATATTTAAACTCTATACCTCACTTAAGAGATAGAGAGTGTACAGGCAATCACGCCAACCAAACTGCTTAATTGCTATTACCTTTGTTCTTCATATTTTTTATAACCAAAATTTTCAATTTCGCTAGATTATATTTCAAACTCCATGAATTTATCTCAAGCCTATTAAGAATTAAATTGAGTCAATCTAAAAAACTCAACTCTAAAGAAATAAAGTAAACATTTTTCATAAATTTGAACTTTGAAATTTAAATTTTATAAATGAAACAATACTTACTTAAAACTTTTGTCAATCAAACTTTAAGTCCCACGAAAAATGATAAAAATGCATTATTATTTAACATGAAAACTTGTTGAGATTGTATGTAATATTTTGTTAACAAAAATGTAATCTTTTTTATTATTTAACAAATACTACATTTTCACTTTAAAGTATTAATTGTTCCTTGAAAAATGAAAAGTATTAAAAGTATATAGGCAAAGTGAGATTGTATTTTTTTTGGATTAAAAATTATAATTTTTACTAAATATAAATGTTGGATATTAATTTGTGAAATAAAGTAAACATTTTTCATAAAATTTGAACTTTGAAGTTTAAAATTTATAAAAGAAACAATACTTACTTAAAATTTTTGTCAATCAAACTTTAAGTCTCACGAAAAATGACAAAAATACATTATTATTTAACATGAAAACATGTTGAGATTGTATGTAATATTTTGTTGACAAAAATGTAATCCTTTTTATGATTTAACAAATATTACATTTTCACTTTAAAGTATTAATTTTTCCTTGAAAAAATAAAAAGTATTAAAAGTATATAGGCAGAGTGAGATTGTATTTTTTTTTTTTTTGGATTAAAAATTATAATTTTTACAAAAAATAAATATTGGATATTAATTTTTGAAATAAAGTAAACATTATTCATAAATTTGAACTTTGAAATTTAAATTTTATAAATGAAACAATACTTACTTAAAACTTTTGTCAATCAAACTTTAAGTCCCACGAAAAATGATGAAAATGCATTATTATTTAACATGAAAACTTGTTGAGATTATATGTAATATTTTGTTAACAAAAATGTAATCTTTTTTATGATTTAACAAATATTACATTTTCACTTTAAACTATTAATTGTTCTTTGAAAAATGAAAAGTATTAAAAGTATATAGGCAGTGTGAGATTGTATTATTATTTTTTTTTGGATTAAAAATTATAATATTTACTAAATATAAATGTTGGATATTAATTTGTGAAATAAAGTAAATATTTTTCATAAATTTGAACTTTGAAGTTTAAATTTTATAAATGAAACAATACTTACTTAAAACTTTTGTCAATCAAACTTTAAGTCCCACGAAAAATGATAAAAATGCATTATTATTTAACATGAAAACTTGCTGAGATTGTATGTAATATTTTGTTAACAAAAATGTAATCTTTTTTATTATTTAACAAATACTACATTTTCACTTTAAAGTATTAATTGTTCCTTGAAAAATGAAAAGTATTAAAAGTATATAGGCAAAGTGAGATTGTATTTTTTTTGGATTAAAAATTATAATTTTTACTAAATATAAATGTTGGATATTAATTCGTGAAATAAAGTAAACATTTTTCATAAATTTGAACTTTGAAGTTTAAATTTTTTAAATGAAACAATACTTACTTAAAACTTTTGTCAATCAAACTTTAAGTCCCACAAAAAATTATAAAAATGTATTATTATTTAACATGAAAACTTGCTGAGATTGTATGTAATATTTTGTTAACAAAAATGTAATCTTTTTTATGATTTAACAAATATTACATTTTCACTTTAAAGTATTAATTGTTCCTTGAAAATGAAAAGTATTAAAAGTATATAGGCAGAGTGAGATTGTATTTTTTTTTTTTTTGGATTAAAAATTATACAAAAAATAAATGTTGGATATTAATTTTTGAAATAAATTAAACATTTTTCATAAATTTGAACTTTGAAATTTAAATTTTATAAATGAAACAATACTTACTTAAAACTTTTGTCAATCAAACTTTAAGTCCCACGAAAAATGATGAAAATGCATTATTATTTAACATGAAAACTTGCTGAGATTGTATGTAATATTTTGTTAACAAAAATGTAATCTTTTTTATGATTTAACAAATATTACATTTTCACTTTAAAGTATTAATTGTTCTTTGAAAAATGAAAAGTATTAAAAGTATATAGGCAGTGTGAGATTGTATTTTTTTTTTTTTTGGATTAAAAATTATAATATTTATTAAATATAAACGTTGGATATTAATTTGTGAAATAAAGTAAACATTTTTCATAAATTTGAACTTTGAAGTTTAAATTTTATAAATGAAACAATACTTACTTAAAATTTTTGTCAATCAAACTTTAAGTCCCACGAAAAATGATAAAAATGCATTATTATTTAACATGAAAACTTGCTGAGATTGTATGTAATATTTTTTTTACAAAAATGTAATTTTTTTATGATTTAACAAATATTATATTTTCACTTCAAATTATTAATGGTTACTTGAAAAAATGAAAAGTATTAAAAGTATATAGGCAGAGTGAGATTGTATTTTTTTTTTTGGATTAAAAATTTTAATTTTTACTAAATATAAATGTTAGATATTAATTTGTGAAATAAAGTAAACATTTTTCATAAATTTGAATATAAATATAAATGTAAACATTTTATGAAAAATGTTTACTTTATTTCACAAATTAATATCTAACATTTATATTTAGTAAAAATTTTAATTTTTACTAAATATAAATGTTAGATATTAATTTGTGAAATAAAGTAAACATTTTTCATAAATTTGAACTTTGAAGTTTAAATTTTATAAATGAAACAATACTTACTTAAAACTTTTGTTAATCAAACTTTAAGTCCCACAAAAAATTATAAAAATGTATTATTATTTAACATGAAAACTTGCTGAGATTGTATGTAATATTTTGTTAACAAAAATGTAATCTTTTTTATGATTTAACAAATATTACATTTTCACTTTAAAGTATTAATTGTTCCTTGAAAATGAAAAGTATTAAAAGTATATAGGCAGAGTGAGATTGTATTTTTTTTTTTTTTGGATTAAAAATTATAATATTTACTAAATATAAATGTTGGATATTAATTTATGAAATAAAGTAAACATTTTTCATAAATTTGAACTTTGAAGTTTAAATTTTATAAATGAAACAATACTTACTTAAAACTTTTGTCAATCAAACTTTAAGTCTCACGAAAAATGATGAAAATGCATTATTATTTAACATGAAAACTTGCTGAGATTGTATGTAATATTTTGTTAACAAAAATGTAATCTTTTTATGATTTAACAAATATTACATTTTCACTTTAAAGTATTAATTGTTCCTTGAAAAATGAAAAGTATTAAAAGTATATAGGCAAAGTGAGATTGTATATATTTTTTTTTTTGGATTAAAAATTATAATTTTTACTAAATATATATGTTGGATATTAATTTGTGAAATAAAGTAAACATTTTTCATAAATTTGAAATTTGAAGTTTAAATTTTATAAATGAAACAATACTTACTTAAAACTTTTGTCAATCAAACTTTAAGTCCCACGAAAAATGATGAAAATGCATTATTATTTAACATGAAAACTTGTTGAGAAAATGCATTATTATTTAACATGAAAACTTGCTGAGATTGTATATAATATTTTGTTAACAAAAATGTAATCTTTTTTATGATTTAACAAATATTACATTTTCACTTTAAAGTATTAATTGTTCCTTCAAAAATGAAAAGTATTAAAAGTATATAGGCAGAGTGAGATTGTACTATTTTTTGGATTAAAAATTATAATTTTTTACTAAATATAAATGTTGGATATTAATTTGTTAAATTTTAAAAGATTTAATTTAATTAATATTCATAATTGTCATCCAACACAAAAGTTTGAGTTTTAAAGATCAAAATTTAAATGTTTAATTGGGAATAATTATCAACAATACCTAAGGATTTAAAATTTTTCTATGTGGAAGGTCATGAGATCGAGCTTAAGTGGAAGCTTTGTTGATTTTTTGTGTTTCATTAGGTTAAGAAAGTATGTTTGAACAGATACTACAATTTAATTGAGTCAGCATTCAAACAAAAAATGATTAATTACATACTTTTTGTCTTTTTGAGTCCCCATGGCGATATCATTAGACTATATGGCATATCATCATCATCATCATCATCCTCATCATCATCATCATCATCATCCTCATCATTATTATGGAAATCACAACCATTATTTGAAAATATGAACTGAATAAAGATTGGTTGATGTGTAATTACACATTTACGTACTATAGTTACTACATACAGTATGTAATTAAATTCATATAATATAACATGTAAATTTTTTTATTTATTTATCATAGCATGCATATTATTTTAACAACGGTTTACATGTTCTATAGATTGGTATCTCCGAAACTCAATCATTATTGTGTAGATCATATTTTGTAAATGTACATTCAGTACAAAAATAATGTATATTCAATACAAAAATAATGTACATTATATTAAGGGGATGTACATTATTTTTGTACTGAGTGTACATTGTATTGTATAATGTACATCTTACTTTAAATAATTAATATTTTGTCTTGTTTGATTGTGTCAATTTGAATAATGCCTTGTGTGGGGCTCAATCTTATCCATCTTATGTTAGTGTTTTGGCCCATCTGTAAATTGTT